AGTCGTGTGGTCATAAGCACACTCGTTTTTTTAGAATTGGTAGTGCTGCATACTGGAAAAATTGTAGAGCAGTAGTTTAGCCTTTCACTAAAGAACTATGTATAAATGAAACAAGTTTCAATAGCTTAGATGCACTGATTTTATTTATTTATTGACGTTTCGCATCCTTTGCAGGAATGCGTCGTTGGAAGAATGAATTTTTATTTACTTTGTCGAGCTACCTTCGAAAGATGTTTAGTGTGCATCTAACCCGTTGAAATTTGTTTTGTGTGATGAGTGTTGTGCGTAAAAAGCCTTTGAAGCAAATAAACTATGTATAAATTATATAAAAAGAAACTTGAGCCAGTCGGTAAAAAGTAATTCAAGTACAGTGAGCGAAGGGTAGCTGGCTCGCTCCACTTGGTGGCATAATACATACATGTTTGTGCTGTCTAATTGTAGATATAAGCTACAGATAAAAAATCTACATATATAAAACTCAAAGGTGACTGACTGACTGACATAGTGATCTATCAACGCACAGCCCAAACCACTGGACGGATCGGACTGAAATTTGGCATGCAGGTAGATGTTATGACGTAGGCATCCCGCTAAGAAAGGATTTTGTTCAATTCTACCCCCAAGGGAGGGATAAAATAGGGAATGAAAGTTTGTCAATTTTAAACCGATCGGGCTGAGACTTTACATGCAGGTATAAGAAGAATCATAGATGAATGTCATTGTGTATAATGCAAGCCTGAGAACAAAAACTGTAGTCTACACTTCAGCTCTACACCGAAGCGAAGCGAGGGCGGGCTGCTAGTTAAGGTATAAAGTTAGCAGAAAGTAAATATAGAAGTTTTATTCATTAATAGGTTTTTCAACCAAAAAATTATGCATCCGATATAATCGCAGGGCAAGGAGAAGCCTCGCCCTGGGAGAACCGCCTTTGTGATCACGGAGTCCCCCATGCTTGATAATGTGGCAATCTCGGCTAAGTTACTTAATGTTTGCAATATACTATTCTATAACGCGGTGTAGCAGACTAGCAGCGCCATCTAGCGGTACGCGAGAGAATCTTAAATCATCCCATTGTATAAGATTGTATAGGGACAGTGCACATTCCTGTTTTATCTGGGTTTGTTCACAAATATGATATCAACTTTTGGAGATCATAAGGCAACCATGGGCATGGATTTTATTGATGTTTCCTTTGTCACGCCACAAGTTTCAAACCTCTACTTTCTGATGGTATACAAAAAAAATACTGTAACAAACGCTCTCGAAACGGAACCGCGAAAGTGGCAGTGATCGAATGTGCCAGAACACCGCGGGTCGTGACAGAGGTTGAGTAATGCGGCTCATTCTAAAATGAGCCTTATGCAGCGCGGCGTAAGGAGAAAGTGCAACGACATCTGCACTTGTTTACAAGTTATGCGCGTTATCTGCGTCTACTTTCTAGAATATTTCGACATGAGTTTAGATAAAATAATTATTTTGATAATTGTATTTGTTTATTAATGTTTGTTTACATTTTGTTGTCTTTTTTAACGAAAGCTGCTTTAGGCGCATTGAGCACTTTTAACATGACTTTTTTTTTGTTTACATTGTGCTTAGTTTTTTTTGAGATGTAATATTTCCCTTTGTCGGCACCTCGGAGTGTTACCACCATCTTTTTAATATATTTATGAAACATGAACGTCTTTGATGTATGGTAAAAACTCTAATAAGTTAAATTTCAATCCTACTCGTGTTCTTTGTAATAATAATATGTATGTAACATTAATATGATAAAATAAATAAAATATAGTTAGTAACAATTATAATGTATTGAATTGCTATTTGATGCATCAAACTAGCTAGCTTTATAAAAGAAAAAAGAGTAGGTATAAAATTTTTATACGATTTAATTTAAATTCCATATAATTTACAATATTGTCCATGCCCATTTGGCTGCTGATTGAATCTTGTAACGTAATGATTCTGAAAATTAAATTAATTAATTTCATGTCAATCATGCGACAATTGCATCAATTAATTATTAGATTAGACAAGCATATACATACATACATACATATAATCTGTATGCTATTGTTATAAGCTTAATAGGTGACTCTTGCAATATGGTTATGGTATTGGTTGAATTCAATTATCTTACCCTGGCCCTGTTCAAACGCAATGAGTTGTGAGTTAGTTATTCTATAGTCAAACAAACCCCTTCAGCCTTATTCTCCTAAGCCGTCTGGGTTTTTTACTCTTTTTCTCCGAACCAAACCTTCTGTATCGAAGTGAAAATAAAATTTCATTTTGTCAATTTTAGGTCGGGACTTAATTAAAACAATAAAGTATCAAACTAAATTTTTCGTAAAGTAAGTAGCCTTAGAGAATCTAAACTTCAATCTATTTTCGGACGAATGAATATTATTTTAATTAGAAACGGATAAGCAACATAATGCGAAGTTTCAATTGAAATGTAGTTTGTTTTTATAGATAGGTCCGACAAATGACTCCGCCCCACCTTATGCTAAGTGACGGTGAAGTCCAGACGTGAACATAGCTGGTACAGCAGTTCTACCTGCCTCACCAGTCATCCTCACCTTACCGACCTGCATGTTGCTTCTTCACGCCTTACTTAAAGGATCCCAGGTTGTAAGAAGGAGGTTTTTCGTTGAATTAGGGTAGGCCTCCAGAACCAAGATTCCTATCCTTAAACCTACTTGACTTTGTCTCTATTCGGTCTTTCATGACTCAAATTATTTTAACAACAGAATCTTAGTTTTACTTTAGCCCCATTAAAATACAAAAGTATGCATACATTTGTTAAGAGAGACCAGAACCTACCTGAACCTACCTCGAAAAGATTTTTTTTTGACTCAAATTATTCAAACAACTAAATCTTATTTTTACTTCAGCCTTAAAAATACAAAACAATGCATACATTAGCTGAGATAGAGACAGAGAGAGAGAGAGAGAAGAATACAAAATGTATCTAAGTGTTTTGAGTTCTACACTACTCATAGTTAGACGCCATTGTTTGAGTTTGCTGTTGGTAATTAACTAAATATTTCCTTCTGTAAAATACAGTGAGCTCAGTCCGATTGTTAGACAGAAAATTATACATTTAGAGCTCTCGACGTGACAGAAGTGCTGAAGTCAAGTTATAATAGACTCATCAGTTGCACTGCTACATTATATAAATGAAATGTTTTAGCATTTTGATCTCGTTTATATTTCAACAGAGTAAGGTTTTAGAATGGCTATAATAATATGAACATTTGACAGACTCACGTGTTTGAGTTTGAATTGTCACGACTGAAATTTAAAGCGTTATTTTCATAAATAACATTTAAAATAATGTAAAATTTATCTTGCTAAAGTGCCGTGTTGCCTTTTTCAATTTCCATTGCAAAAGTTTACTTATTTAACATAAATCAAATTGAAAAACTAATCGACGTCTTTGGTATAATTTATATCTTCAAAAGTTGTAATAAGAGTTAGATAACATTTTCAGAGTTTGAATGAACATTAAAGAGATTTTTTTTATAAAAAAATATTTACTAATTTGTCGCTCCGCAGTCCGTAGCACGACCAGCGTAGCGCCGTAGCACGTTTGCTACATAACGTAGCCGTAGCCAATCGGCTCAAAAGTTAGTATATACGAACGAGCCAATTTCCTCGAGATTTCCGTGTAATGTAAGTTTCTTACTAATGGTTCAATATAAAATTAGTAGTAGTAATATTATTACTAATTCATGGTGTGTTTTTACTGAAACATTATATTTTCTGTTTAATATAGTTGGAATATGAGACGTTGCTATTCACCCTTCATTGCCTGCTAATCACACTCCTTCTTTGCTCGATACCACGTTACATCCATTCGCTGGTTAGTGAAAACGGGTTGAGCGTCCCATTTGTAATTATGGTCATGAAAGGAAAAAACAGAAGAATGTGTTTTTTGTTCCGTTAAAACAGCGTTTTTAATAGCTTCATCATCATCAGATATGGATGTAATAGGGAGACTGGACAATGACCCTCTACGCGGGCCCAGTGTGGATTGGTGGGTGCTAACAACTGCAGTTACAGCCGGGCTCAACGGCTTAATGTGCCTTTTGAAGCACGAAGGAGCTCGAGATAGTATATTTTTGGTCACCCATCCAATGACTGACCACTGCGAAAGTTGCTTAACTTCAACGATCACAGTGCAACGTTAAGTAAGTTCAACTAAGTGAAGGAGGAGCTTGATAGCACAGTATGTGCGTGGTTGGCCTGCAATCGTATAAATTTAGTGGAGCCCAAGCCGGGATTTTGCAATTGACATACGCACGACAGAATAACATAAGAGGGAGCAACCTTGTACCTTGTGAAGTAGTCCCACTATATTTGATATCTGAGCCTGAGCTTGAGCCTGAGCCTTTTTATAGGGAACGCGCCCCCGACTCCTCCCACACAGGCCACAAACATCAACACTACACAGCTAACATACTTGCACACTAGCTTAGTATTAGACAGGAACCGCACTCGTAGAAGACCGTGATCGAAGACCCGCTCTACACACGACACGCTATACCAGGTACAGGTACGTACCTGTACCTGTAAGCTAGAGCCGAGGACCGAGTCTCAGAGACGCCCTCTAGTTGAGCCGACCCCCTCAGGTTGGAGTGGTCTAGAGGCTCCAGATGGAGAGGAGTCTCCCCCCATGGGGAGATGCCATCCGCCTGGCACTCGCCAATTCTCGGCTTGAGATCCCTTTAGGATCTCACTGTCCCCATTCCCGGGGACGCTGTAAAGGTCATCTGCGACCAACAGCATACACACTCAAAAAAAAAAAATATATATAAAGGGTCAAATGTCTAGGGCAGCTAAAAATATTGTTTTTATAACGATCGTCCTTGACTTTTGATCGCCTCCTAATCGCCAGTTTCTAGTAAAGGAGCTACTGGAGAGCTTAAGTAATATCACTTCTCATTGTCCGACGCGCTCGAATGTCTTATATCTATTTTTAAAATATTAAAGGTACTTACTAAGTCGTGATAACTTGAAAGCATCAGCGGTGTTGATGACGTCAACGTAAGCCTGCAACTCCAGTCTTCGGCTGCTGATGTTCTGGTTGTGTACCGTCATAGCGTATCGGAACACATTTTGAATTTCTTCTGTATTCTGCGCGAATATTGCCCCTGAAATTAGAAACAGCAAATGAAATCAATCCAAAATACATTTATTCAGAACATGGTTGAAGTTACACACACATAGAATAGAATAGATGACGGACAACATAAAACATACATTAGATAAAATGTATCTACAGCTGGACCTAAAAGACCCAGTTTAGCATTGTGTGAGTTTGCACTGACGCTGGTTTTCAACTTTTCCGACACGGATGCCAGCCACTATGAATAACTACAAAGATTTTATATTAAATAAAAATAACAAGTCTGAAGGCAAGGCTGTAGGAGTTCTTTATGCAATATGGGTGGGATCTAGTTGCGTTCGTCTCAGGATACATTCCATTAATTCCAGTGGGTGGAGGTTCAAATATTTTCATTGAATTGTGGCATGCGACCATTATATTACGGAATGGTGTCTTGGAGAGTGGTACTTATTTTTTATCATTCTTTGTTTACGTCTGTTTTTTTGTGAACAGATTTTTTTGGAAGGTATAGTTTGAAGAATGATGATGACATTAAATTGGGCTTTTTATAATAATTGCTTTTTCGTTGGAATGGAAATTTTAACTTTACAATTATTAACCAACCAACCCAAAATAATATCATTTCATTCTTACATTCGATTTTTAATAATACCTAACATATCCTTTTCTATAAATGGAAGAAAATTTATTATACTTTAAAGTAATCCCTTAAAATGATTAATTGAAATGACAAAAAAAGCAAACCTAATGTTTCGTGCGACATTCATGTTTTATTGAATTGCAAATGACAAAAATATTTTTTATGACGAAGTTATTGACATCTTTGATTTCGATATTAGCAGAGAAAAACAATTACATTAGCATTCTGATAGAATAAATATTGAAAAGAAATGGCCGGATTCGGGGTCATATATCTGTTTTGAAGATACAAATACTCGTTTACTGTAAGCACTTTAGGATCATATTGAAAAATACGTCTTGAACAAGCACCGGAACACTTCATTCAACAACTTTATCGGTCATATAGCGGAGGAGAAGCCCGTATCCCGTGAAGCATCGTCCGCTTGATATATGTGCGCTGACCGAAACGTTTATCCGAATCACTGTAACCGCTGCCCGATTCTATAATACTCGCCGACCCACAAGCTCGGTGCCTTTGCTCGCTCGCTATCTATCGCTATGTCTTTTTTTCACTTCGGCCGGCCACACATTATGTCCTGAGAGCCATTTTGCGGCACCATTTCTAGCAATATTTCTTCCATTTGCAACGTCATTTCTTTCTATATTACGTCCGAGTTACATAAGGATCGTGATATTCTTTCTATTGTCTCGCACGGTAGTTTTGGCGCTACTGTTCAAAATTATGTTAGGTTTCTGATGATATAGGAATATCACCAGTAATCGCGCCGCAGTTTTGGGTCGCTTTGCTCGGTATTTCGATTTGTTTTCTATATTTCTGTCATTTGCATTGTTTCGTATTCCATGATTGTAATTTTGTGATTTATATATATGTTTTACAAGGCTTGGTTCTTGTATTAAAACAATTTTATATTTGACCTCACAACATATTTCGAAGTACTCACTCCATCCAGGATTAAGCTTGTTGTGCTTATACATAAATTATCAGGGGGGCGATTGTCGGAAAGACTTACGATCGATCCATTATTACCATAATATTACTTATTTTTATCATGGATTACCATGGATATTTGCTCCATTTTGAAGTGAAACTTCATTACGCACTCTTGACTTGAGGGGTTAGCTAGCAAATGCGTTACGCGTTACGAAAAGTGTGTTCGGGCGAGGCGAACGGGAGTTGAGTGGGGGATACAAGCAAGAGAATGCAGAGTGCGCGCACATTTGCTTTTTCTCTTTCTCTTATAGCTAGTAACTGAAATAGTAAAACGTACATTGAAATGTGCACTGCAAATGTGTACTTGAACTGCCCAAAACCGCTCTATTGAATTTTTCATACCTGCGCAATTTATAAATTGAAAACGGTAAGTAATACAAAAAAAAATGTTTATACAAAAGTTGTTGGTAATTATGTACGAAACAACTTTGCCATTTAAAGTTTTCCATTAAAATGATATTTTCAGGGTGAAAAAGTGAAAAAACACTTTTTTGAGACTTTAGCGCCACCTACAATGCGCATTTTTTGTTGTACGAGATTGCAACAATGACATAAATTGTAGTACTCAACGCCGTCTACAATTATGGTAAAAAAAAAGTTTCTAAAATGCATACAAAACAAGAAAAATGCGTTTCAAAAAATTTTTGACGGTTTTTTTGAGTTTTTCAAAAAACGCCTACGAGTTGAACATGCCCATCGCCGAGATGGCTTACTGACGTCATTTGGCAACAGAAAAAACAAGACTTACCCTTTAGGTTTTTGAAGTTATACTTCTTTAGGCGCGTTATGAAAAATTGATGAGAGTGAAATTTTAAGATGCGCGCGCATCACTGTAACATAAATTATTAACAGCATGAAGTTGATGCGTTACTTTTGTGTTTACCGCACATTAAGAAAAATCTACCAACAAAATAGAAATAGAATCTCTATTAAGTGGGTGCTAACGACTGCATTGTGAAGGCCTATCAAAAGTATTTATTAATCTGGAACAACGGAACCAAAGCGCGATTCAGGAGACTACAGCGCCATCTCTTGACCATTGGTGTAGTAGAACGAAAAACCACATCTTTATTTTTTGTAATAAAGTAACAGTTATAGGTATTCATATTTCTAGTTTCTATATTCGGAATACGTGTTTGAGTTTCATACAAGTGCAAATCACATATTATTATGTTCTAATAAATTATATTCAGTAGCGATTTTAATTGAATATTTTGATTATTTATTTATTTTTTCAAATTAAAACTGAACTTTATTGACTGTGTCCTTTTCCAGACTTTTTATTAATTTATTGTAATTAATTATTTGCATGCAATTAAAAACTAATTTTAAACGATGCCAAAGAAGGATAACTTCTCACGCGCCTACATAAGTACACGCACCCATTTTTTTTTCACTGAAACGATATTTTTTTCGACAGATTGACTGTACTATTGGTGGCACATTAACATACATGTTTGTACAGACTGATATGATTGAGATTGTAGATATAAGCTATAGATAAAAAATAAGGTATAATGCAAGCAGTAAGTATATAAGTTTTGTTCATTTATAGGTTTTTCAACCAAAAAATTATGCATCCGATATAATCGCAGGGCAAGGAGAAGCCTCGCCCTGGGAGAACCGCCTTCGTGATCACGGCGTCTCCCATGCCTGATAACGTAACAAGCTCGGCTAAGTTACTTAATGTTTGCAATATACTATTCTATAGTGCCATGTAGCAGACTAGCAGCGCCATCTAACGGTATGCGAGAGAAGAGAGAAGATGGAGCTAAAGAAGTTTCACTTCAGTAGTGAGGTCATAAGCACACTCGTTTTTTTTAAATATCTACTGCTATCTGGATCGTAAGTACAAATAATAATTAATTATACATAAAAACTTGGTATTGGCAAATGGAAAAGGTCGTAATACAGTATTGTATAAAATGAAAATAAGATAAACTCGTTGGTTCTGAACTCGCCAGTATATTTACATACAATATTAAGGTACCAGTTAGTAGAAATACCCGTTCAAAGTCGCTCAGCGCGCTGTGGAAAAGGCTATGCTCGGCGTTTCTCTGAAGGATCTCTGAAGGAAGTGGGCTGGCCATATTTGCCGTTGATCCGATAACCGTTGGGGTAGGCGAGTTCTGGAGTGGAGACCGCGACTAGGCAAACGTAGTGCACAATGGAGTGACGATTTGCGCAAGGTGGCTGGCAGGAGCTGGATGCGAGTAGCCCAAGATCGATCTGAGTGGCGTGTATTTGGAGAGGCCTATGTCCAGCAGTGGACTAAGATAGGCTGTTGATGAATGATATATATATGAAAATGATATATATATATATATATATATATATATATAAGTCAAGCACTTAATAATTTTGCAGCACGTTCATGGAAATATATGATTCGTTTGAAATTCATTTGCAATGTAAATATTTTGTTGAATTTATAAATTTGTACTAATCGGATTTACTTGTTTATTATGAAATTGTTTAGTTTTCTGAGTAGAGCATTTTAACAGGTTATTTTATTTTGAGATAGCTCTGTAAATTATTTATGTTATTTATTTTGCGCCCCGAAAATCTTTTAAATAACTCAAACTCAAAATCATTTATTCAGTCTAGGCTGTTGTTGTAACCGATGGCGTAGCGTTTGAAAGTCAAACGCTATTTTCAACCAAATTAGCAAAGTAAAACGACTTAGTCTTTTATATATTAAGGTAGTAACAAAATAGTTTTTTTGGGTCATCGCGATCTTTTATGAAGTAGTTTTTTATCTATTTCATGTATCTTTATCATTCTTAGGGCTATCAGACATAGCAAAAATACTACAATATTTCATCATACGATACTTTTATCGCTCACCATGGAGATGATTTTAAATATATATTTTCATCTTGAGTTACAAACATACAATACCCAGCGATGTCAACTTTTACATTTCGATGTTAAGGTAGAATTCTGACAAAATGAAGATTTATCGTATACTAGTTGTCTCAGCGAAATTCGTACCGCCATAAAAAATAGGGGTTGGTGGTAGAAGGGTGAATATTTAGGGTTGTATGTATTTTTGTATGATGTATCATAAAAAATAAACACAAAAAACATCAACATTAAATTAAGGGTATTATTATTTTATTAGTATTTATTATTATTAGGTATTAAGGGTATTAGGGTATTACCTTTAACAGTTAGAGGGATAAAAAATAAATGTTGTCCGATTCTCAGACCTACTGAATATGCATATGCAATTTCACGAAAATCGGTCGAGCCGTTTCGGAGTAGTTCAATTAATTCTGTGACATCTTAATTTTTTTTACTACCTATAATTTATTATATTTTTTTAAAGCATTTATCTGCTGTATTTATAAATCTTAATAAATTTATTACTAAAAAAATCTACGCAGTCC